TTCATCGATTAGGGGAGGGCTTCTTAGAAACCACAGTAACCGACCACACAAGACACGACTGGAGGCATAGAAACCTCCAAGGGGAGAGGGCGACCACTCCTTTTCAGCCCTTTCCCTTATCTCCAGTTGAATGCAGGAAAATCAAGAGAAACCCTAGATTGGGTGCGCAGAGAATAGAAATCTAGGCAGATTCGAGTTGCTCTGATACCATGTTATGATTCGGCCTGCCTTGGAGTTCTATTTGTCTGAGATCAGTCACGTAGAGAGATGTAGAAAGGTGGAAGAGAGAGAGAGAGAGAGAAAAGGAGAAAGTCTGGTCCGAACTAGAAGTCAAAGAACATAAATCCCATTCGGCCAGACATGTGCTTTTATTATTAAAATAAATGGAAAAGACAAATGTGCCCTTATTTAAGTAAGGAGCACTGGTTCTAACATAATATTACAGATCAGCAACCTTAATATAAGCATAAAGACAGAAATACCCTTTACGCTAACAGATACACTCTCAAGATGATTGATCATCCTTCCATATTTCTCATACTACGCCTTCATAACAACTAACTGCTCACTAGTGGCTTTCTCATAAGTTGCACTCCTGTCGTTATCTGAAACTATGGCTGCATTGGCATTCCTAGTCTTCCCATATAACCTCCTTGGTGTGTCTTGGTTTCTTGCAATATTCACATATAACCTCCTTCCCTGCAGCCACCTTAGGTTTCACCCCTTGAACCTGAACCAGCCTCCTACTGTCCTCATTGCTCACCATGGTATAAGCCTGAAACAAGGATACATTGTCCTTAGCTAGGATATTCTTCTTGGTAAAGTCAAATTTCGGATTCAACCTTGTTAGGAATTCAAAGACTCTATTCTTCTCAACTAATTTCTTGTATGTTTCTACATCGTTTATACTTTCCCAGACAAAAGTTTCCATGAGATCYATCTCTTGCCACAAGGATTTCAGCATTGAGAAATAAACTGCTAAAGGTCTCTCCCCTGCCTCAGATTGTTCACATCACTTCTTAACTTATATGCCCTGGCCACATTCAATTTTTGCGAATAGGTTTTAGCAACACTATCCCATATTTCTTTAGTAGAATTCATCCATAGATAGTGCTGACAAATTTGGGATTGCATCGAATTCACTGACCACCCAATAACAGTGTAATTTTCTTGCAACCATTTCTCATAAGATGGGTCATCATCCTTTGGTGCTTTCTTGCTACCAGAAATATATCCCCACTTGCCTCTACTACAAACATGTACCTTTACTGATTGTGACCATGCTACATAGTCCCATCAAGCTTGACTGTGGTGACAGCCAATAAAGAGTCTACAGGTGCTCCCAGAACCTGTCCAGACTCTAAGCTCAACTTATTTTCAACTCCAGAAACATCCATCTTCCACAAAAAAAAGCAATTTTAAGATGACAAATAAGGAAAACAGAAAATACAAACACCAAGTACCAACCTTCACAGTTCCCTATTAGCACAACTGCGCCTTACCCAGTACCCGGGAGAAATAGAGAAATAGTAGCCGCTCCTTGTAGGCTTCACACAACTAAGCTATGCTTGGATCAATCTTCAAGGTAATCAACAAGGACTCCTTCAACCATTGCGTGCCAAGGTGAAACCTCTTGTGGAACCCGCAATCAAAAATCTCCAGTTGATTAGGATTTTGGGGGAAAATTCCAAAAAACTGTTAGAAAGGTGAACAGAGTATCATCTTTTCTCCAAGAAACCACTACCAACTGGGCTGAATATCTTCTCCAATCAATTATTGATTCAGTTCTCCATACACACTGTGTAAGGGATTAAAAAAAAAAGAAGAAAAAGAAAAGATGAGACCTGCTTGGATACCAAGAAGAAAAACAATCCCAAAAGAAATAAGAAAGCAGATTAAAAAGAAGAAGAAACAAAAGGAGACAGCAAGAAGAGAAGAAGAGAAACGGAACGATTGAGAAGAAAGGGTGAAAGAGAAGAGCTGCCTGTACATCTTCTCCTTTCCCTAATCCTTTCCATTCAAGAATAATCACTAATAATCAGAAATTACAAGTAAATCCTTAGTAATTACAAGTAAGTCCTTAGCAGGCCCATTAATAAAACAGAGCATAAACATAAAATTAAAACACAACTATGGGCTATGGGCCATTCGGCCCATCTTCTCCACATAAATATTCACCTAAAACACCAAATAGTAGGATAACCAAATAAAATAATATGCTGATCATTTTGATTTTTTTTTTTTGATAATTGAATAAATTTTATTAGATACCAAAGGTAAGAAGTACAAGCATCCCAAGGACAGGCACGAGATGCTACCTCTCCAGAATATTCAAATACAGCTTTTCCTACTTACTAGAATAAGTTATAAAGATGCCCAAAAAAGACCTTCCTTGGATACCCCTTGATTGGCCAAAGAATCAGCCACAATGTTTGCCGACCTGCTTACCCATTTAACATCCACTCTCATAATTCTAGTCAGCCACTTCACTCTTTTGAGGAGATCTCTATATCCCCATATGGCAGTGTTCGCATTTAACAGCCACCCTACTACCACCTAAGAATCTCCTTCAATTAGGAGATGTTCCATCCCAAGCTGGTTAGTGTAGAGAAGATGGGCCGAATGGCCCATAGGCTGTTTATTCTTTCTTACTGTTTATGTTCTTTTCTGTAATGGGCCTTATTCCGAGCCCATCCTTTCCATGTTATGTTCTTCGTAATTTCTTGCCCAACTAAGGGCCTCCTTGTAATTATTCAAATTTATCTTAATAAAATAGTGTTAGGGTGCTGAGAGGGAGTAAGGTTCGAAACTCTCTCTCAAAACCCTCATTGCCGAACTCTCAAGGTCTGTTTTCTTCAGTTTTCTTCATGGTATCAGAGCAGGCCTGAACTTCAGTATTCTAGGGCTGGAAGCTTCAGCTCGTGTTGCCTGATTCTTGGAGGTCATTGGAAGGTGCCCAAGACTCAAATCTCTTGGAGAAGTGGTTCGGTGGCCAGGA